TGGTCTCAAACTCCTGAGCTCAAGGGATCCTCTGGCCTCATCTTCCTAAACAGTTGGGATTACAAGCTTGAGCCACCACACCTGGCTAATACTCCTTTTTGAATGCACATGGTTGTGATAAAAAATATAAAACAAAAGCAAAGAAATGTTAATCACAGATTCTGGATAGCAGTCACCTCAGATGATAGAAGGCAGGAAGACAAAATAGAGGAAAACTAGGTGTATGGATGCAAGTTATTGTTTGTTTTCTAGTTTTCTTGCTGTGTAGTTGTATTGTTTGGAATACATTAAGTAGAAGGCTCAGCTATACCTCTAACTAGAAATTCTCAACAGGCAGTTGGAAATGTACTTCTGGAATAAGGTTAAATTCATTAATTTCTCAAACCATTTTCTCCTGTTATATACTGTTGGTGGGAATGCAAATTATTAATAGTTCAACCATTGTGGGAAGCCGTGTGGCAATTCCTCAAAGAGCTAAAAACAGAACTACCATTTAACTCAGCAATTCTACTGCTGGATATATCCCAGGGGAATATAAATTATTCTGCCATAAAAACATATGCATGTGAATGTTCACTGCAGTACTCTTCACATTAGCAAAAACATGGAATCAGTTTAAATGCCCAACATTGGCAGATTGGATAAAGAAAATGTGGTGCATACACACCATGGAATTCTATGCAGCCATTAAAAAAGAGCAAGATCATGTCTCTTGTGGGAATTTGGCTGGAACTAGAGGCTGTTATCTTTAGCAAACTAACGTGGGAACAGAAAACCAAATACCACATATTCTCACTTACAAGTGGGAACTAAATTATGAGAACTCATGGATACAAAGAGGGGAACAACAGACATTGGGACTTCCACTTGAGGGTAGAGGATGGGAGGAGGGAAAGGGCCAGAAAAAAAAAGTAACTTGGATATTAGGCTTAGTAACTAGGTGACAAAATAATCTGTACAACAAACCTCTGTGACACAATTTACCTATATAAAAAACCTGCTCATGTACTCCTAAACCTAAAAAATGTTTAAAAAAATTTTTTTAATTAAAAACCAACAACATTGTATCCCAAACTATAAAGTACTATTTTGTAAATAGTCTCTGTGAATATTTAAATTGTTTCAGATCTTTTCTATTATATCAGTAGTACAACAGATGTTCTTGTAAATATGTGTTTGCATACTGTGTCAGTTTACATAAGGTAAATTTTTAACAGTGGAATTACTGGTCAGAGAGAATATGCATTTTACATTTTGATCAATTATTGCTAATTTATCTCTTCATAAAAAGCAAGTGAGAGTGCTTGTTCCCCCACACCCTCAGCAACACGGGGAATATCAAACTTAAATTTTTCTCCGTCTCTTAGGTGAAAATTGGCACCAAATTGTTTTGACTTGGATTTTATTTTGTGAAGTTGGCCATTCTTTTACGTGTTTTTAAATAAAGTATTCCATTTTTTCTATTGAAAAAATTTGCTCCTAGGAACATGATAAAATAAAGTGTTCTAGCTCTTTGCAAAAATAGAGAATGATGACCGCATGCTAAAGATGCAGAATGTTTCCTTTAGCTTTGTTGATTTGGATTCATACCATCTCACCACAGCTCATCATGTCATTCATTCATTTATTTTAAAGTACTTACTAAGTACTTATTGTTTACAGAGCACTGATAGACACTGTCCTTTAAAAGGCAGTGTTTTTTAGATGAGGAAAAGTGATTGGGTCTCCAATATGGGGCCTGTCTACTAAGGGATTAAATTCAAATCTTAGTATTTAAGCAGTTCTTCTCTTCCATGCATTTCATTTTTCTAGTTGTTCAACATTAAATTAATACTCTCAGCCATCTGTTGGTTAAGCAAGTGGAAATGTATTTATCCAAAAGGCTGGATCTCTGCTTGTGATAGCTTCAGATTATCAAACTATTGCTGCTGCTTTCTTGCCATTTGCTACTTTGCAATTGATGAGTTCAGTATTTGACCACCTAGAAGTAGCCAGTAAAAGGAGTTCAGAGGTTAGTGTTCTGATGGTGAGGTGATGTATACGTCTACGGTCTCCACCCCAACAGTTCTACCCCAGTTTTGTTTGTTTGGTTGGTTGTTTCATTTGTAATTTCTGTTGAAAGAAGGCTCATGATACATTGCTGTGGGCCACTTATTATTGGTTAGTCCACGTATCTGATACAATTCATCTTTCAACTGCTAGCAAGCAAGAAGTAGGTGGTGTAGTAAGTTATCAGATGAACTTTAGACAACAGGGAAAGCCTGGACTCTATACCACCCAGTCCAGGCTTGGTATCTCAAGAGAGTATAGGAGGCAAAGGGCTAAAAATTTAGGATAATACTCTTATTCTAGATCTTTTTCTTTTCTCTGCAATCTCTATAGAATGATAAATAGGGTCATTTCTTCAAGTACTAAAACACTCTCCTTTAGACATGTAGAATATCAGCTACCAAGCTCTTGGGTGTATATATATGTGAACCGAGCATTTGAAAGATTGTTAGAGATGCAGATTCAAAATAATGTAGGCAATCCTTGCTTTGTACAGCACTGTAGGACAATAAAATGGCAGAGCAGGTTGAAACTGTGAAAAAATGATCTCAGTGATCAATGTGAAAAGTCATGGTTGTTACATGCCTTTTACATTTTTGCCAAAATGTTAATAACTCTCTGATGGTTATAAATATATAGGGAAATGGGACAAAAGTAATGCTGATATTCATTTAGTATGCTGTAATTTAGAATGTCAGAAATACCGAGAATTAAAGTATCTTTTAAAATAAAATACTTATTAAGATTCATTTAAATAGTGCTTACCTTCTTCTTACCATATAACTTACAAGACAGAGGGAACATCTTTTTTATGCCTTGGCAAATACTCTTTTGAATGGTAGTAGTGTCAGCATTCCCAGTCAGCTTTTCTTTTATTATTCCATTCATATTTTATTCAGTTTTCACTTTGAGCATTATCACTTTTATTTTCTTTGCTGCGCTGTCATCTTTGTTGGCTAATTCCCTGGGGGACAAGGAAGCAACACAACTACACACTTTGCTGTCTATGTGTAAACTGAGTAGCGGATGCCCAATGTCTAATCACCAACAGCCTTTGAGAGAAGTGAAAGAGTTGATCACTGATCATGATATGTGTTTGTTTGCTTTGTGACTGAAGAGGTAGCAGTGCAGTTTGAACTTTATGCAGTTCTAGTTCATATACCATGTTGACTGAAATGTAAACTCTACCCTTGGGGGACTAATGCTGTTTAAGTAAATTATAACTGAAATGCAGGCATATCAGGACTGTGCAGAGCAAGAGCTGCCTAAATAAATGGGCTGTCACATCATATTGGTTGCATATGAGTTCGATAGTAATTATAATTTTGTTGTACATGATGGTTTTACAATGAGCTCACTCTTTAAGTCTGGCTTCTTAGAGGTGATTTACAGAATGTAAGTGTTTGCTTTGCTATCTATATCAAGGTAAACTAGATTATGCTGTGATAACAAATGACATCCAAATCTCAGTGGTCTTAGTACCTTCCATGGGAAATTGGCTGGGAGGAGAGGAGGATGTTCTGTTTCACTTTGTCCTTACTCAGGAACCCCGGCTGAGACAGGCTTCTCTATGCTTCTGTAATGACAAGTGCAGGAATTGGAAACATGATGAATTGCCTACTATCTCTTAAAGTTTTCACCCAGAAGTGATACATACCATTTCTCATCATGAATCACTGGCCAAAGTAAGGTGCATGGTCATGTCCCAGCATGGGTAGAAAAGTGAAATTCTACCATGAGCCTGGAAGAAAGAAATGTTGGGCAAGTAGCATTAGTGATGACCACAGTTTCCAAAGACTTAACCTAGGGAGGGCTTGCAGGGAGGAGCCACTGAGGACTGGGATTGCAGATGAACAAGTACAGAACCAGTGTAAGGTGTAATGGGATGCTATGAATGTGATAGGAGTACTAAGCTTCTTAAAACAAGGGGACAGAACCACAGAGAATTAATTGCATAGTGATCCTTATTTAGTTATTAGCATTCCATCTTTAGTGTTTGTCTCTGTCTTTAATCACAAATACATTAAACTCAACAAGTCCTCAACAGTGTCTTCCAGTGGGTACTCTTCAATACCCTGCCTCATAGTTTTCTGTGTCATGGAGGCTAAACATTTCAATACATCCACATACCAGAGTCATTTAGAATCACTTCATAGCTGTGCCCACACCTGAACTTCTCATTTTAATCTAAATGTGATTCAAATTTTTTGTCTAAATTTTCTCTAACAGTCTGAGGTAAGAACAAAAATATTTAAGACACACCTAATCAAGCAGGGGCCATTTGAGCTTGCATTCACTATTTCTTGGCATATTAAATGGGATATTATATTTGGGAAAACACGGTTAATATAAAATGGTCAATTTTGGTATGGTATAGTCATATGCTGAGGTAAGAACACTGTACCAAGTCAGTTATAGTCCAGTGAGCACATTATATTTAAATCTTCCAGACAGGTAAGAGATTTCAAATTAAATATCTATATTCTTAGACATAGTGCTTGACTAATTGACTGAATTTAGATATTTTTGCCCAGATATTTTGATGTTGTATAGACTTATCCTTAGCACTGGAACCACTGGCCTTTGGATACCTTTAGTTCTTTTAGCCTCCCTCTCAGTTTTCTAAGAACAGTGCTATAGGGGGGTTTTGGATTCCAGGAAATTGCCCTGTGTAGTGTTCTTTGCACAAGCATGCTGCATTGTTCTTTCAAGCCTGAATATTTCCCCTCTCGACTTGGACCTATTACAAGTGATATCATGCAAGGGATGTGAGCCATGTCGGTACAGGGAGTGTACTCCTGTGGGCATCAGAAGTTTTCATATTCATTTAGCATTATAATCTTTTCCATGTGACTGTTACTGAATTTGGGAGACTATCTCACTAAATGATGTAGGTATCGTCTCAATTATCTAAGCTCTTTATAACACCAAACATTCATTGTTAACATTAGGGCAATACACTTTCTTCAGTGAGACCAACCAATGTATTAGAGATGATGAAAGAATGGAAAAATAACCCGGAAAGTGATGAGGAAAACACAACAGAAGAGAAGAATAATCCATCCACTCGAAAACAGTTGAAAAGTTACCAACCCTGGGGAAATGTCCGTGTTGCCAATTACACTTCAGATGAAGAGGAGGAAAAACAGGTAGGAAAAATTATTGCTGCATTTTCTCCAAAGTGTTAAAATACCCTCACCACACCTGGAACATTTTTTTTTACAAATCTGTCTTTCTGCTGTTAGTTTGTAACAAAGACCCAGGATTATACATCAAGTAAAGTTATTTCTGCCGTATAGGCTAGCACAATTTAGCAGTATAGCCTACATGCTTATTTTAAGATTGGTGATTATGTAGGGCAGGGGTCTGCCAACTTTTTCTATATGGAAACAAAGAGTAAATATTTTAGGCTTTGTGGGCCATAGTAGTCTCTGTCACAACGACTCATCTCTGACGTTGTAGTGTGAAAACAGCCCAGACAACAAATGAATGAGTATGGCCATGTTCCAACTCAACTATTTTTTTCTCCCCCAAAACAGATGGCATGCCAAATTTGGCCCATGGATCAAAATTAATAATTTTGTACTTTACCAGACTATAGAATTGGGAATGGCTCTATGTATTACTTAGAAAATGATAATTATTATATTATTCAGTTATTTTTGTCTGAATTAATGGTGACCAAAACTTTTTATATAGGTTTATTATTTTACCTTTTTAGTTCTGAATACAGTTTTATCGTTTTTAATGAATAGAATTGAGTGACATTTTTATTAGTTCCAGATTGTAGTCTATTAACGGGATATCCTAACAAAGTTTACCCAAAGCTCCCCTTCCTTGCTTTCTTTTTTTGTTTCTGCATTTGCAGAAAATTTATCTGTATGTGTTTGTTCTCCTTCTTGTCTTGAAATCTAATTAACATAAGTTAGCTTTTATTTAATAAATGAGCATCCTGCCAGCGGGGACTGTGTTCACCTCAGGGCAGCCAGACTTCTTGTGAGGAGTTGCTGATTTCTGATTCTTAGATGCCTAGAATTAGGCAGAGTGGGGAGAGGGACTGCCAGGATAAATCCTGGACCAGACTCAGGGAGGTGCAGCGTTGCTGGCCCACACCCCTCCATGCCAGGAATCCTTTCAGTGACTTACAGAAAGGGACATGGTAGCATGATCTATTCACTGATTTTGGTTTAGTGGTTGAGAATTCTTCATTACTTTATAGCAAATGTTTAGATAATAATAAGAATAACATAATGATTCGGGTATTTTGAGATTTTAATATTTTTACCATAAATTGTTAACATAAGTTAACATACTAGAGAGGAAAAAGATAATTCAATGAGCTTGAATTATCTTTTTCCTCTCTAGTATGTTAACAACTCCTGTGATGCTTAGCTCTTAAAATAATATCATATTATTTAATATCATTTTAAGAGCTAATATAATAAATAAATTTATTATATTTATTATAATGAATTTATTATATTTATTATAATATAAAAATTTTATTAAAAATAAAATATTATTGTATTTATTTTAAATAAATAATAAAATAAAATCATAAAATAATATCCTTAAAATAATATCATAAAATTCAATGTTTGCATTTCTTATTGAACATAGTTTGAACATTTTTGTTGGCTGATGTGGCATTTTATACACATACATACATATGCACACACATACAAATATATACGTGTACACATATACTCACATATTCTTATACATCATCTACAAATACATCTGTAAAGTTATACACACGTTTTGTGGACTTGAGTTCTATTTGTCACTGAATCTAACATAAAATATGCTTGTGAATCAGATGTCTTCCATCTCCTTTTCCATCTCCATGTCACACCTTTCCCCTCTCACTCTCCAGTTGCCCCTGCAAGTCACAAATTAATGGAAGTTGCTATGTGGTTCTCAACTAGGTCAACTAGGGAACAGAAGAATTGGAATTTGAATTGTTTGTGGATACTAGAACTATACCAGTGGGTTGACATTTTAAGAATATAGAAATTGTAAGAATATTGGTTGGTATTTTAGGAATGTAGGTTTCATCAACAGGAAGAATTTTTCCATGGTCAGAGTTCACCAGCAGTGGAAAAGGCTGGACCATGGGTAACAAGCCCTCCACCTCCCATCATTGGAAGTGTTCAAGCAAACTCTGGAAGGTTACTTGTTACAAATGCCATAACAGGAATTCTTGCAAGGTGGGTAGGAGCTTTGCCCTTCCTTGACATCCTCTAAGAAACTTTCCCATGCTTGGGTTTGGGAATTTCTCAAAAGCCAGAGCAATCACACCTTTCAAAAAAGTAGCAGAGCTCTTGGAAAACTAGCAGAGAGAGTAAGTGAGGTTGTGTTAAAAACAAAAGCACTTGAACTCAGCACCTTCCTCCTTCTCTAAGTCATAGTCCCTGAGTTCCAAATGCTTTGGACATGATGGAAACATGCAGTCTGCATCTCCTCATTGTTCATATTTGGACTAGGGTATCACACTACACTTGTTTTAAATTTGCTTTCAATAGTTGGTATTTGGCAACGTCCTTTTGTTCATTTCTATCTTTGCTTGGTTATGGTATTCTGAGGACAGTAATGTTCTCTCACATATATCTTGTTTCTCACATGCTGAGGACATCTAGAGAATGTTTTGTGCTGTTCGTAATCCTCTGAATTCCCTAAGACAAAGTCTTTATCTGCTTTACTGGATAGACTCGACTTCACTCCTGTAATAGCATTCACTCGTCTTTCAATGAGACATCCAGCAGACTGGTGCTTATTGCAGTAGTGTGCCTTTTTACACTGGGCCCTTAATGATCCCTAATAAATGGTATCATGCTTTTATTATTCATAAGCTCAGAAAACAATTGGAGAGAAATGAATGTCTATAATTAAAGTGTACCTCCCCATAACCATAGAGGGACTGAAACCTCCATATGCAATACAAGTATATTTTCATTATGGAATTCTTGCTTCATAATGGAGAACTCTTAGTTGTAAAATTGTTTATTTAACACAATGAATTTGTTTAATGAAAATAGAAGATTTTTGGGCCAGGCACAATGGCTCACAGCTGTAATCCTAGCACTTTGGGAGGCCCAGATGGGTCGATCACCTAAGGACAAGAGTTCAAGACCAACCTGGACAACATGGCAAAACTGTGTCTCTACTAAAAATACAACAATTAGCTGGGCGTGGTGACACACTGTAATCCCAGCTACTTGGGAGGCTGACACAGGAGAATCACTTGAACCTAGGAGGCGGAGGTTGCAGTGAGCAGAGATCGCGCCACTGCACTCCAGCCTGGGGGACAGAGTGAGACTCTGTCTCAAAAAAGAAAAAAAAAAAAAGAAAGAAAATAGAAGATTTTTGTTATTATTTTCTTTTGTGATCATTTTTCCTTGGCTGAAAACCTAGTTTTATGGTACTGTAGGAGATAGTACATGTAGCAGTTGCTTTATCTAGGCTAGAAAGTAGAAAGACATGGTGGTTTAGAAACTTGGAAAAATTACTTTGATAAATGATGTGTTCACAAAACATTTTTTCAAAGACAAGAAATGTTGAGATTTAAATAACATTGAAATTTAATACTTTGATATATTGACAATGTTTCTGTGAGGAAAACTTAAGTTTTTGTGATATTTTAGTTGAGAGGGATAAAAATTTTCTTTTCCTAAAAATTATATTTTAGCTCTCTGAGTCCATGAAAATTGGCCATCATATGAAAATATGATGGTACTTGTACAATTGTGGCACACTTTTATATCCCAGTATTGAAGCATTGCACCATGGCATCTGTGCCTAAGCATAGCCCTTAAACTATCATAATAGTTAAAAGCAAAACTTTGAATCTAGGCTGCCTGGATTCAGATCTGGCTTCACCACTTAAAAGCTTTATGATGTTGGGCAAATCTCTAGGACTCCATTTTCTCATCTGTAAGATAGGAATAATGATCTCATCAACTAAGAGCTAAGTGAAATCATGCGTGTAACACTCTTGGCACATGGTAAGTACCCATTCATGTTAGCTATTATTACTTTCATTATTATATTACTAAAAAGTGTATATAGACTATTACTAAAATTGCATGTATTTTCCTGGCTGTGTCAAGGTTCCTTTAGGTATAAGTGTGGGCATAGACTAGTAAACAAACCAAGATATTTCATTTTCAAAAATGATAATGTGCTGCTTCTAACCTCATTTGCCCTCTGAGTTTGGTGAGATTCCTAGGGTACTGTGATAGGTCAGATTCTTATTTCCAATTAATTATTCCTTTCCTGTAAATAATTTGTACATGGACACCCTCTGCCATATGACTTTGCAGTTCTCCCTACTAGAACTCTTGAAGGCTATTTTCTCACCCTACTAATGTTGGTCTTGGTTGTTATTCTGGCTGATGGATTGTTAAAGGGTGTAATATAAGCGGAGACCTCAAAAGTGTTTGCATCATGTAGCTTGCTCTCTTCTATTTCTGTTACTTGTCATGAGAAAAGCATGCCTGCAGAAAACCAAAGGTTTCAGAATTATGGAGATTTGTGGAACACATCTGAATTCAGTCTAATACCTGATGTTTAGCCTAGCACAACCAAACTCTGCAGTTAATTGAGAAAAGTAAATACTTGCTGTTACAAGATACTGCGATTTTTGCAGTTGTTTGCTGTATAGTTAACATAGGCAGCCTAAACTGCCATCCTTCAAAAGACCTATTTATTTGCAAGGTTGACCCTTGGCTCATTTCTGGGAACTTAGATTTTTGGACAGTTACTATCATTAACTGATAAGAAGAGCTAATTTTGTCTAAACTCTGTGCAAACGATATGGCTTATGCTGAATATCTACTTTCCTTCTGGGAGTCTGGGAGTTTGGTAAGTGCTAGGTAGAGGCTGCCTACATGACCATAGGTGCTGAGTCTCCAGTGAGCTTCCATGGTTGGCAGCATTTCACACATGCTGTCACAACTAACTGCAGAGGGAATTAAGCACAGCCTGTGCAACTGCCCCAGGAGAGGACACTTGGAAGCTTATTTGTGGTTTTTCTTGGACTTAGCCTGAAGTGCTTTTCGATTTGCTGGTTGCACTTTGCATCCTTGCACTATAATAAGTGATAACCATGAGTATGAATATAAATGTGGAGTCCTTTGAGTCCTTCTAG